AGCAAGACTTTTAACTATGTCTTCCAAAGACATGCTGGAACTACTAGCTTGTGACTAAACAGGTGGTTGCTGAAAGTTGCTTTGGTGCTGATTTTGCTGGAAAGGTTGCTGAAATCCAGGTGGAGCTTGGTATTGGTTTCTTTGCTGAAAGTTTTGTTGAGGCCTTGGCTGGAAATTCTTATTTTGAGGCCCTCCCCAAGGTTGGTTTTTACGATGCTAATCAAAATGGCCTTTGCTGAAATCCTCCCATAGCTTGAACAGATTCAATGTCTTCTTAAAGTAGTGGGCACATGTCTGTTGGATGCCCAGTTTTGCAGCAGATCCCACAAGGTTTGCTTTTGCTTCAATACATTTTTCTTTTGTGAACAGAAGGACAACCTTTGTCAATTCTGAAATCTAGGATTCCAGGTGGGCGTTACTTATTTCTTTGACTCCTCTTGGCTGGTCCGGGTACCATTCTTCTTCAGTTGCTGAATGCTTAGATTCATTTGCCAGCTTTTCAATCAATGTCCGGATCTCTGTTGGTGTCATATCTGAAAGTGACCCTCCACTTGATGCATTTATAAGTCGTCTCTCCATGGGTATCAAGCCTTCACAGAAACACTGGTACAACTGATAATCACTAATGCCATGTTGAGGGCATCGGACCAACAACTTCTTGAACCGCTCCCAATAAGTGTGGAGAGCCTATCTTTTGCCTTGCTTTATACCAAGAATCTCTCTGCGCAGGTTTGACACTTTCGCCTCATGAAAATATTTCTCTAGAAAAAGTTTGATGAGTTCATTCCAGCTTGTTATTGAACCAGACGGGAGGTCATATAACCACTCCTTTGCTGCATCTTGAACTGAAAAAGGAAACGCCCTTAGTTTGATCTGGTCTTCAGTAACTGCATGTGGTTTCATTCCAGAACAGACGACATGGAATTCCCTGAGAAATTTGTGAGGGTCTTCCTCAAGGCCTCGGAACGAGGGCATCAGATGGATTAAACCGGATTTGAGCTCAAAGTTCTGAGCTTCTGGAAAGGTGATACACAGAGGTTGCTGGGTAACCTCTTGTGTTGCCCATTCGCGGAGAGTCTTTTCAACATCGTCTACGTTTTCGCTCATGATGGATTCTGTTTCGGTTTCAGAAGAATCTGTGAGTTCGGCTTTGTCTGAAGATGATGATGAGTATGTTTTGAACGAGCTGTTAATGGGTGAGGTAGGTGGTGCTTTTGGAAAAGGTTGAAATGAGGCTTCAGGTTCGTTCCACAAGGGACTTCCTTGTGGTGTGGGTGTTTTATAATGTGATAGGGGGAGGGGGGAGGAGGAGGCTGAGGTTCCTACTTGTTGCTTCCTAAGTTTTGCCTCCTTTAGCCTCCTAGCAGTCTTCTCAATCTCTGGATCAAAAATTAGATCACTTGTACGTGAAGATCTTGGCATAAAGCTATTTGTGTTTACCGTGTCCCCGACAACGGCGCCAATTTGTTAAAACCGCTGTCGTGCACGATTTAAACAAATAAAAGTATAAATAGACCGCTCTTTTGCACTAACAGGTAGTACGGGTAAGCAGGGTCGGATCCTCAGGGACACGTCCTAAAGTTTACACCTCTTTGCATAAGGCATGAACTAATTATTGATAAGTGCATAAAACATAAAAGGGGAGGGGGTGTTTAATCTTGAAAATTGAACTAATAGAAATCGGAAATCATAAAAGAATAACTAAATTTAAAGTGGTGAAAATTCAAATAAGAGAAAGCAATTCCAGTTTTGCGGGTTCTCCCCTGATCATATAATTAACCTTCAACACAGTATTTGACTATGCACTTGTTTAAACTGATACTAAAGTTCATTAACAAGATCTAATGACCTCTATTACAAAAATCATTTAATCAAAATAAGTTCTTTGAATTAAATCTAACTTTTTACCAAATTAACCAAACAAGCTCTTGATTAACAAAGAAAAGTTGCATTAGACACAATGTAATTTCCCAGTAAAGTCCAATACCACTCATAGGCTCGGAGGCGTTAAAAACTTGTTTGATCAATTCATATTAGAGTTAACCCTAAACACAGAATTAATCTAATATATGTTACTTTTTACCAATTAGTCTAGACAATTACAGATCTAAACAATTAGATAACTAGAATGATTCACAAACAATTCAAGTGGCCAACAGAAATTGAAATTAAAATCAAACACTCAATTAAACACAGAATTGATCAAACTAAACAATATTCACAGTCAAACATAGTGCCTAATGATTAATCATACGAAAAGGCTTTGTCTTGCGAAACTGAAATGTGAGTTTTTAGCCTGACATGGCTAAAAACATATTACAAACAGTAGAAAATAGAGTCTAAACGATAAATCTAACTAAACAATGAAAAGAAATTGAATCGTATCCTTTAGATCTGCGTTCTTCACTTGAAACCCTCTGAAAATCGCTTTAGAATCGCCAGGAATCGCCAATTAGGGTTACTGGATGAGTGTGGGGCTCTATTTATACGTCTAGTAGTAAAAATGTCGTGTATGTGATCGCATGTATGCAAGTTGCGATCGCATGTATCATCGAAAACGCGTCCCGAGCCTTTTAAATGAAGTACATTACCATTTTGATACATTTTTTCCTAGTTGCAATCGCATGAAGCTAGGTTGCGATCGCATGTATCAACTTTTCTCATCCTGGTGAATTTTTGGCACGAAAAAACTACAAAGCGAAGCTGTGACCAAAGATGCGATCGCATGGGTAAATTTACGATCGCATGTATAGGGTATGCGATCGCATGCACTCAATTTTGTCTCTTTTCGATCGTCGTTCCTCCTTCCAAGCTGTTCTTGATCATTCCTCGGCATTCTTCCTTGGTCTAGACTCCAGTTTAGCTCCAAAGCATCCACTAACGCATCCTGAACTGGCGTAATCATCCATGTGCTCCAAATTTCCCTGAAAAGTGTTAACAAAGGTGAGCAGTACGGGCATTCTACAAAATAATCACGAAACACGAAATACATAAGAATAATCGGGAGTTAGTTAGCTTTTATAACGAAATACCAAGGAAATTGTGCTAAAAGATGCATATAAAATGCATCTAACAATCATACATATAATATAATAGCACGTGGCTGTGTCAGGTCTGTATCAACTTTCGGGTCCGTATCAACCCAAATAACAAGTAGCTATGTCGGGTTCGAATCAACCCCCGGGTCCGTATCAACCCCGAGTCAGTAATGACTCTGAGCCCAAACTAGCTCAATACATAAACCATACAATCACATCATGCAAAATCATACAATTGCACATGGTTTCTACTCATACCATAAAGTGGGTCGTCCTTGGTGCCTTCGGCCCACTTAAGGTGGTAAGAAAGACTCACCTCACAGACAGACGAAAAGTTGAAATGACACGTTGCTCTGAAACCCTCGCTACTGATCACCTTTACAAATAATAGTAACCAAAACTCAAACTATCATTCAAATACCTAAAATACCCCTAGGTCAAACCAATAGTAACCAAAACTCAAACTATCATCCAAGTCAAAGTCAACTGTGTCAACTAGGTTGACTCAGTCAGTACGCGGGGCGTACTTCGTAGTTGACCGAGGATCGCAGAGCTAACCTCGTACGTTCAGCATACCCTTCGGTACGACCAACGTACGTGGCTGCTCGCCACCCCTCTTATTAAGTGCTTAATCGGATTAAGCACTTACGTCCAAACTTCAGATCCAAGAAACAAAAGATGTTATTAAATATAAAGTTTCCAAATTTATCATTTAGCATGGATATTAAGACCTTAAATCCATAAACCCTAGTCTCTTAACCCATTAAGACCATCTACCACTTGCATGGAGAGAAACTACTGACCAAAAACCCAACTTTATGACTTAACACCCCTCAAAACCTCTGAAAGGACAGCTTAAATGCCTTGGAGTACCTTCTACTCACAAAGACCAAGTTTGGGACCAAAAAGGGTACAACTTTGAGCTAAAACCAGATCCATAAGATTTCTACACCAAGGTTGAATCTTTTTACCTCCACAAGGTGCACAAGGGGGATAAGATGCTGGATCCAAAGTCTTGAGTGAAACACCACCACCTCAATGGTCTTCCTCCTACTGCAAAAGCTCCAAATGTCACCAAAATGGCTCACCAAACTTCACAATGCACAAACATTCTTTAGGGTTTTGAAATGAGGAAGGAGACTGAAGATAAGAAGGTGGATGTGGCCATTAATGTGTTTAAATAGGGTCCAAACCCTAAAATTTACGGTTTGCGCCCTGGCTGCGTACACTACAAAAAATATGTCATTTAGTGGCATACAAAAAGTGACTAAAAGCCCAAAAAAAAGGCCACTAAAGGCTTCTTAAAGAATCAGCGGCACACTTAATAAATGCCACTAGAAACACTCCCACTAAAACCTTTTAGTAGAACTTTTTGTTTTTGCTGCTGCAATTTTTAGGCTTTCAGTGACACTTTTTTATTTGTCACAGTAAAGCAAATTTCTTTTGTGGCACATATTTTATGCCACTAAATCTGATTTGATTTAATAATTTATGTTACTTTTAGTTACACATTTTAAGAGTTTAGTGGCATTTTTTTATTTACCACAATAAAAAATAGTGACATTTTTTATGTGTCACAGCAGAAGAAAATTTTTTGTAGCATATATTTTGTGCCGTTAAAAGCTCATGTGATTTAAAAAATTCATACTACTTTTAGTTACATATTTTAAGATTTTAGTGACAATTTTTATTTGCCTCAATACAATTTCATCTATAATATAAAATAAAATGAATAATTAAATTGTAGCACATTGAAAATAATCAAAATTTCATTGTTTTTCATCAATAGTTTTTTAACTTTTTGAATCGAATATCTAGTTAAATATCAAATATGTCTAAGTACATGCTAAACATAAAGTAATTAACAAAAGTTAAAACATGCATATAAAAATAAAATAAAATAAAAAAACAAAGACATGATAGGTTGAATAAATTGTGTTATCTCATACTCTAGAATCAATGCTAGCAATTCCCTATCCAAAAACAAACAAAGATAATCTAGAATCCAGTGAAATAAGGCTTAGTTTAGAAAATAAATAATATAACACCCAACACAAATAAACAATATTTATAAGAACAAAGGAAAGACAAAAGCTCATAAAATGATTACCATCGTTATGATGACTTTCAGAAGATGCTCTCTGGTTAACTGAATTAGAGTTGTGTGGAACTGTAGAAGTGCTGCCTGACATCTGAAACAAATTAATGAAAACATATATCATTAATGTCCAACTCTCGATACCTTCTACTAGTCTTGTACAAATGAACAAGAAGAATTTAAGAAGATGCATATGTGCACCAAGAAGATTATTCAGAAGGGCAAAAGTGGTCATTTTTTAGTCCAATTGGAAATATGATAATGGACTAATTTTAATGAATGTTTTTTTTTGTTCATAGGGTAATTGAAAAGGAACAATGCAATTATAGATGACATATGTACTTGTATGTTCATATTGCTAAGAATTCCAGACAAGTTTGCATTTGGGATATGTTCTTGGATGATATTCGCCATAACGTTCACCATAGTTTTTAGTTGTTCGACACTCGGATCATTAGAACAAGAAACAACCTTCTCTTTTACGGTAGGCATCCTTCCAACACATCTGATATACCCTCTTTTTTCAGGACCTTTAACTTTAGAGTAGTCATCATTTGAAAAATCATCTACAGATCCTAGGGTACTTGATCCTTGGGTATTTGAGGAATCGCTTGCAATGGCTTGTAGGGAAGTCTGCATAATAGCAACATACAAAAAACATGACAAGTGTTTCTCACCCACTATTTTTGTCCCACTTTCAAATTAATAGCAACATACTTTGAAAGTGGTTGCTATATTATCATAGTATAGCAACCTACTTTAAAAGTATGTTTCTAATACTTGATATGATTAAAAACATGTATATATAATGTCTAGGGAAATCATTACCATAACTTGAGCGGCTTTTTCATTGATGATATTTCCATTTTTACGAGTGCGGGTTTTTACATATATTTGTCCTCGTGTTGGGTATACACCATTCTTCAATGCCTATAACAAGATGTAGTTATGTTTTATGAAAAATAAATAAATTAAAAAAAAGACGATAATATAAGTCAAAATAATAAAATATAATAATACCTCTTCGTGAGCAAGTCGAGCAAATGATTTTGTCCCAAAAACATGGGGCTCTTCCATCTTTGCACGACTCTTTCTCCTCAAATCACACATGCTCTACATAATTATTTTGTACATAATCAAGATGGTGGAAGCAAATAGTTGAGATCCATAATTAATCCGTAATAGCAACAAATTTCATTTATTTACATATAATAGCAATTTACATGCATTTCTTTATTGATAATACAATATGTAACAATCAAAAGCAGTCCAAAATATTATGGTTTGGTAGTGAAAGATTGTTTTAACTAAAAGGTAAAAGTAAGGATTCCATGAATAAAAAACATGCTAGGCCATTAAGGGTAACCAACTTTTTTATCCTTTTCCATAAATTTATATTATCTTTTACCCACAATAGCAATGTACTTCCTATTTTTTAGTGTAAAATTGTTTTAACTAAAAGGTAAAAGTAAGGATTCAATGAATAAAAAGCATGCTAGGCCATTAAGGGTAACCAAAATTTTTTTTATCATTTTCCATAAATTTACTTTATATTTTACCCACAATAGCAATGTACTTTCTATTTTTTAGTGTAAAATTGTTTTAACTAAAAGGTAAAAGTAAGGATTCAATGAATAAAAAGCATGCTAGGCCATTAAGGGTAACCAACTTTTTTTTATCATTTTCCATAGATTTACTTTATCTTTTACCCACAATAGCAATGTACTTTCTATTTTTTAGTGTAAAGTTGTTTTAACTAAAAGGTGAAAGTAGGGATTCAATGAATAAAAAGCATTCTAGGCCATTAAGGGTAACTAATGAGTAATAGGATAAATTCCTTAGTTTATGTAAGAAACTAAATATATTACTTGATATTATGGAGTAAACCAATGAGTAACAAGATTTTAAACTGAGTTGGGTTCACCCTGTTATCTTTCTCAGTTTGTTGTGCCACAATTTGATCGATTGTAAGACTTGAATCATATGCACGTGCTTTTAGTGAACCTTTCTAAGTTCTCCATTTTTCCCCATGGTAAAAAGGATCCATTTCTTGATTTCACTTGTTTCAGCCGGATGAATAACAAACTTGGCCTACAAATAAAGCTTACATGTAAATATAAATACACCATAACTTTGGTTAATAGATACGCACCTTAACTATAGAATACATATCTTCTTTCTTCTCTATAGGGATCTTCCTCCAATCATCATAATCTATTCCGACATGATTAGCCATCCTCATAAGGGTCCCAAGGTATTGTACGAGTTCATTTCCTTCATCTCCTACCGGTTTTCCGAACCTATTAAATGTCACTACTATTTTTTGGGAGCTACTTATGTTCCATGTCTCGGTCTTTTGGGTATAACCGCTTACCTTCTTTTGAGTACCTAATAAAAAAATTAGTAAAGTTAACCAAAATTAGCAATAGAGTGATAATATGACAGTTTTCATCAATGAATTAGTAAATAGGCATATGTTTCTTTTTTACTCAAAATTGAAAGATGTCTTTATGTTACAACTTGGAAGCCTTTATAATGAGGCAGGAAATTTATTCCAAAGCAAACATCTAACCCTTTATTTGAAAAAAAAGATTCAAAGACTAGGGAAAGATGAAGAATTGACAAACTTTAAAGAACTATTAATTGAATTTAAGCTTACATATTTCAGATAATGTAAACAAAGAGACAGTTAGATAAAGGAAGTGGGCATTTGATATAGTGGTAGATAAAGGAAGTGGACATTTTTCATCAACAAAATTAAAACATTTGATCTACTAGAAACATATCTACCTACTCAAAATGGATAGCATATACCACAAAATAGATATGAAAACATGCAATAATAGTATCAATCAACAGAGTAAGGGTCGTTTACACAGAAAGGTAACTGCTATAAATTGAAATTATAAATGACAAAAGTAAAAAAGAACATGAAATACTTCAAAAAATATATGTAACATATTGATGGTTTTTGAGCATTCTAACACTCCTAAGTGTACATGCAACCCTAAATACCTTGGATCTATGTTTT